GAGCATGTTCTGATTGAATGTGGAGATATCCACCCAGGTGTACGTTTGGGCACGAGCCTACAGGAAGCCTTGGGTTTTAGGGACAACAATGGAAAGCTGAACACACCCGCGATTGAAATAAGTAAGAGACGGCTAGAGTATTGGTGGCAGAAAATTAGAGAGAAAGGACAAAAATAAATATTGGAAAAATAAAATATGGACAGTGTGCCGTAAATGGCAGAGAACTTAAGCTGAAAATTTACCTTTTTTTCCATTAAGATAGAATTTATCGAAGTAGAGGCATTAGGCCAACATAAAAAAAAGGTTTTTTTTTGTCGAGCCTGGTGGCATACTTGTCACCACCCCGTTATAAAGGGGACGCTCATAGCATCCATCCATCCATCCATCCATCCATTACCTGACAGCTTTTTTGTACGTAGGTCTTGGCAACTTTCCTACTGCTGCAGTCTTCTCGGGGTCATGGCAGATGCCTTCACAACTAACCACATAGCCCAGAAAAAGGAGTTTGTGAAAACCGAATTGTCATTTCATGGTTTTATCACTAGTCCTGTTGGACAAACTTTTTAAAGAACAGTCGAAAATCATTCCACGTGCTGATCGAAGGTGGTCGAAAAGATTACATTGTCGAGATAAGCAAGACGGAATGGCAATTTTAATCTGGATAGCACAGTGTCCTTCATCCACTGAAACGTGGCAGATGCGGAACAGAGGCCGAATTGCAGTAAGATGAACTCGTACAGCCCATTGAGTGAAAAACGCCATGTTCTCGTGGTTTGTTTTGCCCACCTCTATCTGCCAGTACCCACTTTTGACGTCCAAAGAAAAAAAAGAACTTTGCGTCCCGTAATATGCGATGGTGTCATCGATTCTTAGAAGTGGAGAAACATATCGCTTCGTGAAGTGCAACTTTCTGTAATTTACGCAAAAGCGCATGGTGCTGTCCTTTCTCTTTACTAACACGACAGGCAAACCCAACGAGTTGGCTGACGGTGCAAGGGAGTCGTCTGTAAGCATTTCTGCAATTTGGATTCTGATGGCCTCTCTTTCTCTTTTAGTGATACTCACTAAGAGTACTTGCCAAAATGCCTCACTGATTCCTGAACTACGATGCGGTGTTTGGCTACAGACGTGTTCTGAACTTTCGATGACGTCGAGAAACCACAGGCGAATTCTCATATAAGGCTCTGGATAGGCCGCTTTTGGTCCAGTGAAAGAGCTTTGTTGATGCTGATGGATGCGAGTAGGCGGTCTACATTGTCATGATTGATTGGTGCCATAATGAAAGGGCCCAAATTATTAATTTCACTGTAATTGGTTAGGCAGGTGATGACGGTTTGTTTTGCAATATGCTACACCTCATTTCCGAAATTAGTCACAAAGGTATTTGTGCACCCATCACGCAGTGGAACGAGACCTCTTGCCACTCAAATCTCTTTTTTCCAGTAGGAGTGCAGTGTTACCACCATTTCATCATGGTCGCTGAATGCTTCACTTCTTACGGCAACAACTATGCTGCATCTTGGCGGCACCGTTACGTCGTCGTCCAGAATTTTGATTGCGTCGTATTCTTCATCACACTCGGATGTCGCGAAGGTGTGCTTCATGAAGAACGACACGAATGCTTCTTGCAAATGTATCAAAGTACCGTTGAACTGAAAAATGTCATTACAATTATTAAATATCATTCTGAAAGGAGAAAAAAATCAGCGCTGTAAGTAAAACCACGTATTCCAATTCTACCAGCTCATCTGGCAGCTGGAGCGATCGGGTGTCCTTCTGCGCTACGCATTCTTGGTCCTGTTCATAGAGTTAACACTTTTTAGGGGCGAAGCTCCTTAGGGCGTGGGCTGTGCGTCCCCTGTAGCCTGTATGTAGCCATCTCTAGTTTAGTTCTTGCAGTGTTCACTAGATGGCGGTACCGTCCCCTGTATGTAGCCACCTCTAATTTAGTTCTTGCAGTGTTCACTAGATGGCGGTACCGTCTCCTGTATGTAGCCACCTCTCGTTTAGTTCTTGTAGTGTTTACAAGATGGTGGTACTTGTAGCTGATGATGAAAAGATGCAAGATGTTATAAACTAGAAAGCGGTACTTGTAGTTGATGAAAGACGCGAGATCTTATAAAATAGGAATGATGTCACATATGGCGCGTGTCATTGGTTGAAGGCAATCGTTCGATTTAGTGCGGCGACGTACGCTAGGGGGAGCGTTGTAATAAAATCCGTTCGCTGTTGGCGCGCGCTCGGAGTCGCCGGATAGATAAGGCTGCACAGTGGAGAGAGCGCAAGGCACAGACCATAAAGCCGTCATAATGAAGGGACATCGCAAGCCATTCATCGTCTAAGAACAAATAAAAGTTGATTTGTGTATATACACACACAGCGTTTCTCACGTCTTTACATGATGATCGACTGGGCGAATTACACGAAAGATTCACAGTTTACCGATGAATCCCTCCGGAGCTTCGCCCATTCATCATCATTCACCCCGTTAATATGCCGTAATTTTTTTCAGTTTCCTAGCAAGCTCTCTACTTACACTTGAGTTGTCTACATCTGTGTCCACTTAAGCGGTAATTTCACACATGTCTATCAGCATGCTGAAAAGGATGATGCAATGTTACTGTTTCCAGAACTTTGCTCTCGTCTGTCGTGATATCCCGAAATCAGCGCTGGAAGTTCTCTTGTGTCGGCAGCGGCCTTACCTCCACAGGTTGCCGATTTTAGTTCTCCTAAACCGGACTTTTGAAACTTTGTCTTGGGGAACTTGTAGATGGGCGCGGGCTTTGGGATTTATACATCAGTCTCATTGTTGACCAGACTGCTGTGAGGCGTGAAGGCTTTGGTGAGACGACAAGTACTCCTGGATCGCGGAAGGACATTCTCCATTTCGTGGGCAAGGAGCGTTAGTGGAGAAACCCCGAAGTCCTTCGCGGTGGTATTCGCACATCCGGTACAAGTGGCCCGCTTCACCACAATGATAGCAAAGCGGGATCCGACCGGCATGGCACGATGTCACTCTTCCGGACTCTCGTCTCATGTGAGGGTGGAGTGAACCGTGGTTCGGGCAGATGTAAAGGCGTCATGAGGAAGCCACGTCCAGGTGTTTCCCTTAGCACCTCAGCATATGATTTCGCTTGCTGCACCAGAAACGACGCTTGAAGCTGCCCTTGAGGCTGCTGCTCACGGACCACGTACCTGACTTCCTCACGGACCACCTCGGTCGATGAGAAGATTGTTACTGGGTTAGTGTGTAGCCGCTGCCTCTGGAGCTCTGCTCGAACCGCTATCCGCACGAGTTCTAAAAAGATATCGATGCTGTTTCTGAATACTGCTGACACTCCTTCTGTAGATGCGATGCTCACTTTTCGGTTGTACAGCCTTGCACGCTGTTGGAGGCTCTTTCTATAATTGTCACCTGGCTGCAGATTTCGTTAACGGTGCACGGAGGGCTTCGAAGTAAACCGGCAAAAAGTTCATACTTGATGACGTGCATTATATGCCGAAGTTTCTTGTCCTCGTTCGTGCTCTGATTAGCTTAGTGAAACTAGCAGGGCATATCTTCGACGTACATTGCGCAGCTTTCATTGTTCCGCTGGCTTCTCACTTGCAGAATAGTTTTGGCTTTTTCATTGCGGTTCGTACACGGGAACATGGCCAGCAGCTGCCGGCGGAACTTGTACCTTGATCGGAAAGCACGTTCATGATTTTTAAAACATGTCCGTGTACTGTCTTCCAGCGCAAAAAAAAACACGGTGGAGCTAGCGGTATTTACACCATTCATTGCAACCGACAACGTGCTTGAAACCCACAAGTATATCTTCGGCGTCTTGGTGCGTGTCATCGTGGAAAGGCTCGGGGATCTACGGTTAGTCAGCTATTGCGTGGGTCGCAGCAGCTGGGGGTGTAATTTCGGTATTTCTTTGAACAGCTGGTGCTTGCCCAGCAGAATCAGACACAGCAGGACATTTGGGTGGCTCACTAGAAGACGACGACTGGTATGCTGGTGAACAGGCGTGAGATCGTTGGTCTCCGGTCGACGTGGCTTTGGGCTTCGTTCTTGAACTGGACTGGGGGTAAGGCATTATTATCCAGCATCTGCACGAGGATTGTGAGGAACAATTCAGGTAGGCGGGAGAAAACGATTTATTGTTCGTAAACTAGTCGAACACTAGAGAAAACCAAAAATCGCCTCCTGCTTGCTCGGGCGGCTCGTAACTCCTTTTTCTTTCCTTCTGGGTCAGTCCTTGTGCCCCGATCCGTGCGCTAAACGCGCATGTAGTCGTGGCGGATTCTCGTAGCTACAGTGTGCCATTGTCTGCGAGGTGGGCGCGCGTTCTTTGAGCACTTTTATGGTATGCGTCGTAGTGAACTGCTCCTGAAATTTCGACCACCTTGGGTTCTTTAGCATGCACCAAAATCTGAGCAGACGGGCGTATAAATGTTTCGCCTCCATATAAAATGCAGCCACCCTCCCTGGGATTCGATCCCGCAACATGCAAGTCAGCAGCCGAGTACCATGGCCCCTGTGGCCACCGCGGTGGGGATTAATGCCAATGTGTACCGTTCTAAGCTTAGTTTGGTTCACCGGCCACAAGTTGGGCCAAATAAACTGTTTAAATTTTGACAAGCCATTTCTTCTTTTGTCAGTGTCACAAGCCCGTGACAATAACTTCTTTTGAATATGTATTTTCATTATTAAGTTGTATTTTTGTGTTCTTGTTGCGTATTTGGTTTTTGTATTATCTTCCCTCTAGTGCAACTCCTTCCTGTGCGCTGAGAGTAAATGAAAAGAAAAACAAAATTGGTGAATGCTCTGCCAATGCTGTAGTGAAAGTTCAAAAGGCTCCAACGTCTTGAGAAAGGCTGGGGCATGGGTTTCTGTTATGATACAACACGCGAAAGTTGTACCTTGCACGAAAATGTAAGCTAATTAAAACAACAAATTGACTAAGAAGAGATATACCATCTGCCAAACGATGGAAAAGAAAATCACCACTTACTCATTCAGAGAGCAAAGCTGTTTGTAGACTTTGCTGAGAATATCAGCTAGCTGGAGCAGTGAAACGCCCAACCACATGCTCACATGCCCAGAAAAGTATGTAATGAGGTCCGATCCCTGCGTAAGAGAAAGTAGGCACATCTCATGATTTTCTCCACTTGGTAACTCACTGCTATGAATGTGCAATCGATAGTTTTTGTATATATGAAAGTGCTTTTATTAGCATTAGCGTGCATCTCAGCGCTAACGCTAAAACGGAATGCGTGGCATTCCAAGTCGCATGTTAGTAGTACAAAAAAAGGAATTCTCGGTAACGCTAACACAGACAACTGTGGCGCCATCTAGTTATCGAAAACACTGTATACACTGTAGAAAGCTTAAGCGCGCCAGTAAATGAAGTTGACCTGAATTTTCCGTCACTCTGGCTCTGTGCCTCGTTTGGTTCAGTCTCACGGCCCGAAACATCACTTTCTTTGCTCATATGCTGTAGTCAAGCATTTCTCTAGATTCATCTTTCCTTCCCCCAGTTCTTGCTCAGCTTGAAATTCTGGCTGCATTTGCCTTATCTCATGGACAAGCGAATGACTACAGCCTCGCCATCTCTACGAGGCAATTGAAAACATAGTCGAACCTTGTATACAAGTCTAATTAGGACTTATGTACCTCAAACAGGCAGTGTACTTCAAAAACATTGCTCAATTATTGGCAGTATGCAACTGGCGAAGCCTCGTTACTCAAACCTAAATCAAATACGACTATTATTTCGGAGTGAAGGGGTTGAACAATGCAAACTAATGACAAATATTATTTGAAGTGGACGGCTTTCACTAAAAAGGCACCGTCATCTTGCCCTGCACACGGGATTTCTTGCATGCGTTAGTGTTGAACGCTATATTCCAGAAATATAGTTTGTACGCAAGGGTTCCAACCCCATTGACGTTCTGCACATGCTTAGTTTGGAGCACACAATGCTAACTCAAGGCTGAATTCTTGCGTTCCCTCTTTCCAGCTATACTAAATCTCGCTATTCATTCGCACTTGGCACAGTAGTGAACGTTCTGGATTGAATACGTTTACACGAAAAATAGCCGGCAAGACAAACAGAAACATCATCACAACAATGTGTAGAACCAGACCTAATAATAATTTTGTAATGTGTGAATTATCAATACAGTTTGAATGCAGTGGCTCTGCAGAGCTCTAAGTTTGAAGAATAGACACTAATGTGCGGTAAAGATTAGCTTCACTGTGGCTTACACAGGCAGTCTTCACACATTTGAGAGTATAAAAATGCCGTAGTGAGACTTCTCACTCTTATATAGAACCTTTAGTCCCCATTTCGTGAAATACGTCCTAGTTGTAATATGTTACAGTGTATATTCTTCTAAATAAAGCAGAGGCACCTGCAATAAGGGTGGGATGTCTATGTATCAAAGGTGTCTGGCACACTAATCCATAAAGCTTCACGACACATTTCCTTACGCCCGTGCATTGGAAAATGTATGGTACGCATGACAATGTGCATTCTGGATGCACCAGAACTTCTGTAACGCAATAGTTCAATGAAGTTCAATAAACAAAAAGATAGGAAATAATAGTTGCTTTATAGTAATAATTAACAAGCTAATCTAAATGTTACGGAAGCTAGTTCCTTGACACACAATCATACAACTCATCCAGACAAAGGAAAATGTGGTGAAACCATTACTGGTTCCAGATACAATGCCAAGCACGGGCCACACGATTTCTCGAGGTAATTGACTTCGGCACGGAAGAACTTGGAAAAAAATGCAGTAAGTCCTGAAACACACGAATATCGCCGGAAAAAATGAATGTACACGTATGAGTGACTCTAATGTTACCACCTCACTACAAGACAACAAATATGAAAATTCTTAACATACCGCGACCTCCATGAATGCATACATTGTCATGAAACTTGCTGCTCTAATTTGGCGCAGGGCATTACGCTCGTGATTCTCGAGGCTGTGGGAATCGAGACTAGCCCGCCACCTTTCGCGGGCTTTGCCGCCTTTTTCTGCATTCTCCTGTCTCGACATGACTCTCCTTCCCCTCGGGCAGCCATGCTGGGGGACAAAGGAGTGACGTTTAACCCCTCTCACCCGGTAGCGGATGTCGACTGTGGCGCCACGCATGGAGTTTCTCGGGACGTTTCTTGCGTGAGCATCGGGAGCGAGAGAAAACCTCTCTAGAACGACATGGGTTAAGCATGCATTCCTTTTTCGTGCGTCGGCTCCCTCTGCTTGCGGCTCGTTCGGGCTACCCCAACAGCGACCTGCGCGCGCAGGTGAGTGCTTACCCTTTCTCGACCCCCCCCCCCCCCTCTTCGTAAGCTTGGAAGAAGAGCGATGCGGTGTCCTATTGCGTGGTCATAGTACGCCAACCCGCACCTCTCGAAAGCCAACGCGAGCAGAGTTTCGCCCTCGCTTGAGCGACCGGGCCTTTTGCCCCGTTGTCACCGTGAATCACATTTACCCAAGGAGACGTGTTCACGGCACCATGTGTATTACTCTACTTCTCGCCAGAGCCTGGATACACTGACTTGCTTTACCGCCGCCTCTTTTGTAACGGGCTCTGTACTGCGTTTTTGTGTTGCCACAGACAATAAAGTGTTGCGACTTTGAGCAGTACCATGTTCTCGCAACGGCGACAGTTAACACGTGCCCTGCGGCTCGCTACGTCCGGACCCATGCTAGTGGCCATATTGCTTTTGTATATGTGTACACTACACTTGTGCCCAACTTGGCCACAAAAGCACAAAGCTTTTGACTGCTCTTAGCGAGTCCGTTCGCCTGCGCGATTCGGGCTCGTTGCAACATGCCTGCTTCGAGGCATTTTGTCCGCAGACCTCTTTAGGCAGATGACGTGTTGCACAAACAGGCAATTGCCTCTATCGTCAAGCACCTCTATTGCACCCGTCCGTGCCCTCACCCCTATTGTGGTGAACACACAAGCAGCTTGGTAGCTGTTGTCTCGTTCCCTCTGTTGTCTGCCGAAAACCTTGCTCCGCCGTGGTGGTCTAGTAGCTAAGGTACTCGGCTGCTGACCCGCAGGTCGTGGGCTCGAATCCCGGGTGCGGCGGCTGCAATTCTGATGGATGCGGAAATGTTGTAGGCCCAAGTGCTCAGATTTGGATGCACGTTAAGAACACCAAGTGGTCGAAATTTCCGCAGCCCTCCACTACAGCGTCTCTCAAAATCATATGGTGGCTTCAGAACGGTAAACACCACATATTCATGCCTAGAACTTTGATTTTGGTGTGACGGTCGCTGGCGTTGCCTTTGCAGATGCAAGGGTTGGGGGCCAAACAGCGGCACAAAGGGAGAGTGCCCATGCGGACGAACTTGACTGCTATTCAGGTAAGCGGCGCACCGCATAGTGGCTGACTAGAGGAGCTTTCCGAAGACCACGGTGCTGAGAGCGAACCCGTGACGCCATGCACATGGTGGTTGCTGTGGTCCTGAGTGGGCGCAATACCAAACTCCCCCCTTTGGGAGAACTGGAATCACTTTCGGAGGCAAAGAGCTACTGAAGGCTCAGCAAAGTGATCTGTTTCGAGTCTTGGAGAGGCGGAGCGGCCTATACGCTGCTTGCGCTGCTGCGGGAGGCGATAACGACCGTCTCGAAGAGATGGAGTGCCGTATACGCTGCTTCCTCTCGTTACGACCGTCATCAATATTGAAGTTTGGCAGCCTTTGTGAACAGGTTGAAAATATTTCGACGCAATCCAAGCAAGGATGTGTCGTCAAGACGGGTTGGTTTCCTGTCAGCAAAACGTGAACAAGGGGTCCAGGATTGGTTCGCGCAAAGAAAACGCACGAGCCAAGAAGGTCATTGTGAGCTCGACCCTATGCAAGGTTTTCGAGGCAGACAAGGTGGCAGCTGGGCCATTTTGGAGGTCGCCGAGGATCTGGAAATATCGGAACCAGCGTGGTATTCGGAGTTTGGGCTGAAAGCTAAAGCCAAACTGGTCGTGGCTGCATCTCGTGAGGAGAAGCGGAGCCCCGGATATGCGCAGCTAAGCCGCAGCTTCTAGCAAACAATCACTAATGGTATGTGGGGTTGGAGGAAAAGAAAGGGCACTGTCTGTTGTAGCCCTCGCGGGAGCCCGCCTCGACAACGAGGGATTAGTCGACCACTCCTCCTTACCCCTTTCTCCGTCAGATTGGCTGAATGGGGTGGCATATTTTGACAATATGATGGCACACCACTACATTGTCCTACCCAAACGGCCAGGCAAGTTTGACACGTGTACTGGCAGCCGTTTTTTTTACCTCATCCAACTGCCAGAAGAATCTTGAAAACCAATATCATCGGACGTGCGCGAAACTTGGTGACGTGTGCGAAAATGTCAGCGCAGGGCGTTTTTGACCATATTTGGAAATCGTGTAGACTGTGCCCTCTCCGCATGCGTTGTGTGGTGTCTTTCCTCTCCTTCGTGGGCCGCGCACCTAGACCATGGAATGCCCTATTGGCCGAAGCCGCGGACAATGCGCCCAGGGTTGGCAACGAGGCGCTATATAAGCCGAAGACTTTCGTGTATTTCAAGTTTCACAGTTCAAGAGTTCTCATGTACAGTTTTCGACTTCTCGTTCTTCTTTCAAATTCTCAATTACTAACCATGTAAATAAATTGTTGTCGTTTTTACGAGCAGCCTCATCTGACTTGTTCGACGATGGGTCCTAGGACGGGGGCCCGCTACCTAATTGAGACCCGCGGGACCCGGAGTCGCAACATTCTGCAGCGGGTGCCAATAGGGGGCTGAAACAGCTTGTGCCACTGAGTCCCTGGTGGATTCATTTACCTGGAGTATTACGGGCTCCTGCTGAGCTATATAGCCACAGGCGAGACGTCTGCGGATCCTTTTGAGGTGGCAATGCCCGAAAAGTCTGAGAGCTGCATTGTTACGATCCTCTCACGAAGAACTCATGGCCAGTCACCTGAGTGGCTCGAAAATTTTCGCAAACTGAGCAACGTCGTGACCAGGGCCGGCACGAAGCGTGGAATTTATCGCTATTCCGTGCCTGCCACGTCTTACAAAAGGGGGAACCATGGGTCGGCAAGCGGCTTGGTCCTATGAAACGATTGTCAGTGAG